ACTCTTTTAGTTTTATTCAAAATACCTAAAAGTTAAATTTTTTAAATAACCGCCTATTTCAAGCACATCAAAATCATGCTTGTTGTTTTGAAAGCGTAGGAGAAAGAAATATGAAAGTGAGAGAGAGAAATTGAGAGTATAACAGATGAATGTCGAAGAGATAAATCGACAAAATTGGATAGAGCTGTATGATGAGAGAGAAATCAAAAACACAAATAAGAAAAAATTGTGATGAATAATTTAGTTTATTTAAAATAATTTTAAAAATATTTTTATTAAATTATGACTAAATATAATTAAAAATAATTAAATTTATTTTGATTATTTTTTTAAAAAATTTTTATCAAGAAATGTTATTTTTCATAATTTTTTCCAATTCAATTGTTTATATTAGTATGGCCGAAAATAATTATCACGTTTTCTGAGTTCTGTAGTTCAGTTACGTCTTTGAAACGAAATTTCAATTTTCGGTGAGGGGTGACAGTCGTAGAAAAAGAATATTTTATGGCCTGATTTCATCGAAGAACTGTTTTTGCGTTAGTTTTGGTTCATCATTTCAACAGTCCACGTCTACAGTCGGCTGTTGAAATTTGACCCTTCAGCATCTTTAGATGGCTCGCGTAGATGCTATCATGTGACACACCAAGCTGTCCAAAAAAAAAAAAACAGATACGACACACCAAGCAGTGCGACCTTTTCTCTTTCCTCGCCTCGACATGGCTACCAGGTTCTCTAACTCAGTTAATTTTCTCTGCTTATTTTCCTTTCTTTCTGTTCTTCCCTATGCTGATTCAGTTAGCTTCAAAATATCCCGGTTTGACCCTACTATGAGCAGCATTATTTATCAGGGTGATGCAAAGCTGGCCGTTGGGACTGTCGAGTTTAACCTTGTCAATTATATAAACCGAGTTGGATGGGCCACATATGCAGACAGGGTGTTGCTCTGGGATTCTGAAACCGGTAGGCTCTCTGACTTCACAACTCACTTCTCCTTTGAAATCAACGTCCAAGATGATCCTATTTATGGCCATGGGCTTTGCTTCTTTCTTTCTCCTGTTGGATCTCAAATCCCACCAAATTCAGCTGGTGGCTTTTTGGGGCTATATAACACCACAACTAGTGATTCACCTAGCAACCAAATTGTTTCGGTAGAGTTCGATTCCTTTGAAAATCCTGAATGGGATCCTCATGGAATTGGTGGTCATGTGGGGATCAACAACAACTCTATTGCTTCAGCTGTCTACACTCCATGGAATGCTAGCTTTCATAGTAAAGATACTGCAACTGTGTTCATTACTTACAATTCTACTACTAAGAATTTGAGTGTGTCTTGGAGCTATTTCACAACCACTAATCCACGAGAAAAAACCAGCATTTCCCTTCAAATTGATCTAAGGAGGGTTCTACCTGAGAGGGTCATGGTTGGTTTTTCCGCTGCTACAGGTAAGTATGTGGAGAGACATATACTTAAATCGTGGGAATTCCATTCAAGTTTGGAAGAAGTGGGAATTGATGGAAGGGCTGCAAGAAGGATCAACATAATAGTAGCCTCTGCGGTTCCTGTTAGTGTTCTGATAGCTGGGACATCTATAGCATTTATCATTTGGTGGCGGTGGCAGCAGGGAAAAAGGAAAACTGCAGAGACAACAAACCCAGCCTCAATAAATGATGACCTTGAAAGAGGAGCAGGACCTAGGAGGTTTTCTTTCAAGGACCTTGTTTCTGCTACCAATAACTTCTCAGAAAGGAGAAAGTTGGGTGAAGGAGGGTTTGGTGCGGTTTATAGGGGTTACCTTATTGATTTAGACATCGTAATTGCGGTGAAAAGGATTTCAAGAGGGTCTAAACAAGGAAAAAAGGAGTATGCAACTGAAGTGAAGGTCATTAGCCAGTTAAGACATCGGAATCTAGTGCAACTAATCGGTTGGTGTCATGAGAGGCGTGAGTTATTACTTGTCTATGAGTTCATGCCAAATGGTAGCCTTGATTACCACCTTTTTGGACAGAGAATTCCCCTTACTTGGCCTGTCAGGTATAGAATATCTCTTGGATTGGCATCTGCAATTTTCTATCTTCATGAGGAGTGCGAGCAATGTGTAGTGCACCGGGACATCAAATCCAGCAATGTAATGCTAGACTCTAGTTTCAATGTTAAACTAGGTGACTTTGGATTGGCTAGGCTTGTGAGCCATGAGCTAGGTCCCAAGACGACTGGGTTGGCCGGAACTCTAGGTTACTTGGCTCCAGAGTATATAAGCACAGGAAGGGCAAGTAAAGAGTCAGATGTATTTAGCTTCGGCGTGGTACTGTTAGAAATTGCTACCGGCAGAAAGTCAGCTGATCCTAGAGAATCAACTGAAAGAGGATTGGTGGAGTGGGTTTGGGATCTTTATGGGGAAGGAAAGCTTCTTTTGGCTACTGATGACAAGTTGAAACAGGATTTTGATGAAGAACAAGTGGAGTGTTTGATGATTACTGGACTATGGTGTGCTCACCCTGATAGCCGTTCAAGACCCTCAATCAGGCAAGCAATTCAAGTTCTGAATTTGGAGACAGCCATCCCAACTCTTCCTACGAAGATGCCTGTTCCTACCTTTTATGTGCCTCCTATCTCATTCATTTCTAAGGGACTTGGACCAAATTACTCGAGCTCTGAAGCTGGCTATTATTAGACATGATTCCCTTCATCGCTATGCGACAGGGCTTAGTCTGAACAATGTGCTTTGTTTACCATGGAATCACATTAGCGGTTATATGTGCTTTGCTCTTCATTAGTTTTAGTTAGAGAAAACATCGGACTATGTTTTTAATAATAAGTGTATGTACATTTTAGCTGAGAAACTTAGGTTAGAAATTTTCTTTCCCAAGTTTAAAATATTAAAATAAAAATGCCAAAGAAAAATGTACATATAATTTTATTTGAACACTTCTTTCTTTGTTTTTTTCTTATTAGTATTACCTTGCCTTGTACTAAAAGGACCCTGTTGGGACATCCCTCCCATGACCATGGGGCCCGTTGATGTACATATTTGACCTTCCGAAAATTCTTGTCTGTGAACCAATTTTGACTTTTTCGATATTGACATTTAATTATTTTGTTGAAGGAGGAAAAAACACAACCTGACAAAGTGTCATGTTACATTGTCAATCAACTTGTATTAGTATACTGTTATGAACGCTTTTGGATTGTAGAATTTCTCAACTGCCTCTTTCGATTATTGGGATGTAAATTATAATTATAATTTGTTTTTAATATTCTTTTCTTTATGTTTTTCAATGATAGTAATAATTATAATATACATATAAAAAAGAAGTAATTTTGTGTGGATAGTTTATGTTATGTGTCTACTAACCAATGTAACATTTTAATTTTAGCATCTAAAGATTAAATTTACTACATTTATTATTTTTATTTATGCATTTTACAAATTTAATACAATTTTAAATTAAATTAGATAAGAATTTATAATAATTAGTCAAAATAAACATAGACATGATTGCTTAATGCTGAAAATTCAAATTCGAAATGAATTTTATGACCCATAATATAGTTCCTAGCATATGGCAATCGCAAGTAAAACCTTGTAAACCTAAAATTTGCATTGATTTCATATGATCTTTTCAAATTGTTTTACATGGCATTTAGGGACTGTTATTATTATTAGAGAAAATCTTCTAAAAACTTTTTAAATTATTTTTAAAAATTCAAATAAATTATTATTTTTTATTATATTCAATCAAGTTTTTATATTTTTATTTTAAATTAAATAAACTTTTATAATTAATAATTAATTATTATTATTAATTACAATATTATATGTTATTTTATTCATACATAACGCTAACGTAAGTGAAAAATGTCACATATGTATGTTATTATATTACGTCATTATTTATTATGACATATTAATATATCACGTAATATAAAATAATAAGTGATATTTTAACGAAATTAATCATTAATTATAAGTGCCTATTAGGCTCAAAGTAAAAGTATAAACACTTATTTAATTCAAAATAAAAATAAATGATTTAATTGAACCTAATAAAAAAATAAAAATTTATTTGAATAATCTTGAATAGTTTAAGAGTTTTTTTAAGTATTATATCTAATTTGAACTTGTTATTCTATGTCATGTGATATGTTGACATTCTGTGATGGATGATATTACAGTATACTGATTTGACATGATAACATGATTATATAATATTTTTTACCCTTCACATTAATATCATATGGGTATAAAATAATAAATGATATTTTTGATTAATTATAATTAGTTAACCATTACTTATAAGAACTAATTTGACTTAAGATAAAAACACATGAATTTGATTGAATATAATAAAAAAATAAATATTTATTTAAATATTTTTTAATAATTCAAATGTTTTTTCGATGTACCATTATTATTAACGGTTATTTTAATTTGATCCGTTATTATCAATGATTATTTTTATTTGATTGTTTTTATTATTGCTAATTGGATTGTTAATAGCAATTCAAATTAAAAATTAAATATTTACTTTATGTGATTACTTTCAACCTAAGACCTATAAGTAGGAGATGCCTTGAAATGCATAGTTTGCAGTTTTTTCTACTCTCTTGTTACGTGTCTGTTAGAGACTAAAGTTTTTTAAGTTATTTTAATGCTTTTTCTTAGTATTGTTTTCTTGACTTTTTAGTTTTTATATTTTTCCTAACCCCGATTTCATCATCAGAAGATTGATTTCTTTTTTATATTTGATAAACTTTCTATTTTAAAACTAAAATTCTTTGATAAACTTCTCTACCAAGATTTATTAATTGCCTTAATTGCCAGTGAATTTATTCAAACCTTTCGACCTTTTAAAAATTGCTATAAAAATTTACTAAAGAAACAGTCAAACACTTAAACAGCCAGCGCCTTGGAATTTTTGTAACTTTGCATAGAAAAATCACTTTGTTTTTTAATGTATATTCCAGGACAAAATTATAGTTCCATTTCAACAAAGTTTCTCTGAAGTTCACACAGCTCTGGACTTTTTTGTACTTTGTGGCTGAAATTTCGGCACCAAGTCATCATAAAAATACCAGCATCATTGTGTAATGTTTTTAGGATTCCTTTCATTGCCGAGCTGCATCTTTCCCTCCCCTCCCTTGCCATGGCTGCCGGCTTATACAACTTATTTTATTTACCCTTTATTTTCGCCTTCTTTCTTTTTGTTTTTCCATCGGTCAATTCAGTAAACTTTCAGATATCTCGCTTTGAACCCAATGATGACAGGATTCTCTATCAGGGTGAGGCAAGCCCTTCCGATGGAATGATTAATTTTAACAGTTTGGACAATTTGTACAGAGTAGGATGGGCTACATATGCCAACAGGGTGCCGCTGTGGGAGCCTAAAACAGGGAAGCTTTCTGACTTCAGTACCCGTTTTGCCTTCAGCATCGACATCAGCGACCTTTCTGATTATGGTCATGGCTTTGTCTTCTTCCTGGCTCCTGCTGGATCTCAAATCCCACCAAATTCAGCTGCTGGGCGTCTGGGCCTTTTCAACACTTCGCAGTGGGTTTCGACTCTGGGCCAAGTTGTCCTGGTTGAGTTCGACACTTACAAAAATGGCTGGGATCCTGATCAACTTAAAAACCACGTGGGGATTAACAACAATTCGATCGTTTCAGCCGTCTACACCAGATGGAATGCAAGCATTCATAATGGAGATACTGCGGATGTATTGATTACTTACAATGCTACAACTAAGAATTTGAGTGCATCTTGGAGCTACCGCGCCACCAATAATCCTCAGGAAAATTCTAGTCTGAGTTATCAAATTGATCTTATGAAGGCTCTACCTGAGTGGGTCATGATTGGGTTTTCAGCTGCCACGGGTGTGAGTACAGAGCAACATATTCTTCATTCGTGGGAGTTCAATTCAACATTGGAAAGAGAGGAAAGTGGTCGAACTACAGCAAGAAATGTTAAAATAGTGGTAGGTACTGTAGTTCCTCTAGGTGTTTTGGTAGCTGGGACCGTCATAACACTCGTCATTTTCAGGCAGTGGAAGAAGAACATGAAAAGAAAAACAGAAGAGACAGCAAACTTAACATCAATCAATGATGCCCTCGAAAGAAGGGCTGGACCTAGAAGGTTTTCTTATAGTGATCTTGTCTCTGCCACCAACAATTTCTCAGAACAAAGAAAGTTGGGCGAAGGAGGGTTCGGTGCAGTTTATAGGGGTTACCTACCTGATTTAGACATGGTAGTTGCTGTAAAAAGGATTTCAAGAGGGTCAAAACAAGGCAAAAAGGAGTATGTAACTGAAGTGAAGGTCATTAGCCAGTTAAGACACCGGAATCTGGTGCAACTAATTGGTTGGTGCCATGATAGAAGTGAGTTCATACTCGTCTACGAGTTCATGCCAAATGGTAGCCTTGATTTCCACCTCTTTGGCCAAAAAATTCCACTTTCTTGGCCTGTCAGGTATAAAATATCACTCGGATTAGCGTCTGCACTTCTTTATCTTCATGAAGAGTGGGAGCAGTGTGTAGTGCATCGGGACATCAAATCTAGCAATGTAATGCTGGATTCTAGTTTCAATGTTAAACTCGGTGACTTTGGGTTGGCCAGGCTCATGGACCATGAGCTAGGCCCCAAGACAACAGGGTTGGCAGGGACTTTAGGCTACTTGGCTCCGGAGTATGTAAGCACAGGTAGAGCAAGTAAAGAGTCGGATGTGTATAGTTTTGGAGTGGTATTGTTAGAAATTGCTACTGGAAGAAAATCCACTCATGGCATAGAAAATTTTGAAATGGGATTGGTAGCGTGGGTTTGGGACCTTTACGGGCAAGGAAAGCTTCCTTTGGCTGTTGATGAGAAGTTGAACAAGGAAGTTGATGAGAAACAAGTGGAGTGCTTGATGATTGTTGGACTGTGGTGTGCTCACCCTGATAGTAGTTCGAGACCCTCGATCAGGCAAGCAATTCAAGTTCTCAATTTTGATATAGAGAAGCCAAATCTTGCTATGAAGATGCCTGTTCCTACATATCTTGCACCTACACAATTAGTCACTAGCGAGGAACCTTTGTTAACTAATTCAAGCATGGAAGTGGGTCGTTAGATTCGATTTCCCTACCAAGGCCCTAGACCATTTTAATTGTTTTGCCTTCTGCATCTATTATGTAATTACCAAAATTCAATTTGAATGTATCGACTCATAGAGCTACTGGGAGATATTTTGCACTATTACAGCCAAAGTGAGTATATGTTTTTGTAGTCCTTTCTTGATAATATATTAATATACAATAAAGACAGAAAGAACAGGACTGATTCTCTATAGTAGCAGATTATCCTGCATTTGTTTTTTGAATCAATGGAATATTTCCATTATTCAGAAAAGAAAGATAATAACCATTGAAAAAATATGATATTTGGAAGTTCAAAAAGTGAACTCTTTTTAACAGAGGAAGTACTGAAGTTATGATGGTTGGAGAAAAGGAAGTTCTCTAAGTATCAGAAAGCAGGACCAATACCCCTTGAAGTTTGCTGTTCCAAGTTCAGAATTTAAAGGAAGCTGCCATCCGAAACCTTGCTACACAGGTCCCTGTTCCTAAGTTTCAAGGAAAGAAAATGGAAGTTCTGTGGTTTATACAGATTAATTGACAAGATAGCTTTTGAGGGGAGAAATACTGTTTTGTTTTCTGAAGTCTATATTATATGGATGTTTGAACTAGACGTGGCATATAATGAATAATATAGACCAATTCTTGGTAAGAATTTGTTTGATTTATATAGAGAGAGAGAGTCCTTATCACTGTATATTTGTATAATGTTTGTAATCGCTTCCTTTCTGCGATTGTCTTTACACCTGTAAAACAATGGCAAAGACCAGATATATAGTTTATGTTGAAGTTGACTCTACATTTTTTTTAGTGCAATGAATGGGATGATGGATGCAGTTAACCCAAACTTCTAGGTACTGACATAAAGTATTTTCTTTTTTATTTTGAGAAAGATAGAATTCAAATTCAACTCGCGAAATAAATAAATATATGTAATTATCATTAAATTAAATGTTCAATGCATAAATAACATTTTCTTAGTAATAATAATTTTTTTTAAAATTTTATGTTAGAGATTGATTTTTAGATTTTGACAGGATTTATTCTTATTTATAACTTTAATTTTACTATTTATGAGCCATGAGCTAGGTCCCAGGAAAACTGGGTTGGCTGGTACTTAAGGCTATGTGGCCCCAGATCATATAAAGCACAGGAAGGACAAATAAATAGTCGGATGTATTTGGCTTTGGATCGGAGTGGTCTCAAGGAAGAAAGTCAGTCGCCCCTAGAGAAACAACTGAAACGTGATTGTTTAATGACAATCAGGTCATTTTTAAAACCTCAAAGACAGATAGTTTAATCACATTGTAGAAAACAGGGAATAAGAACCAGAATTTGATGGTAATCAATTTGAAGGAAACATTGTACTGTCGGGTTTGAGGTGATGGTTATTTTATTGAATCAGTAAAGGGAGTGAAAATAGAAGCCCCCAAGACAACGCAGTGGACACCCGAGCTTCTGAAATTGATCCCATGAAGAATCTGTGGTGGGTAAGAATGAAACTGCAAAATGCTTAGGGGGATCCTTAATTAGTTCCATTTACTAAAGGAAGTAACGACACGGTTTACTAGTAATGAAACAACAGAAGGTTTTTTTTTAGGAGAGTGTTCTACTGGTGAACCTCCATCAATTACAGAATTCCTCCTAATATGTTATTCTTTACAACATTAATTTTCTTTAGACGTCTTCAATCTTCCCGCCCCTTATGAAAGTTATCTAATAATTTAGTTCCGTTACAAGTTCAACTTATGTTGTTTTAGACTTATAAACAGAATTCAACTCAACATATCAGAGAAGAAGTTGTCAAGCATGAAGAACAGAGTCAGAAGATATTCGTTCTAAACAATAGGCTCATGGTTCTAATATGCATTAACATAGAAGATATCCATCACAAGACTTAACAAGCAAGTTTTGAACAGTAATTAGAGACTTGCTTGCATGCTAATCATCACATTAGTCATTTATTAGGTGCATAGCTGTCATAAGTTCTACAGTAAGTTGCTGTCATGATACAAAAATACTGAAATATAGACCTTTGGTTAATAGCATGTCAAAGGGCGAAATTATAGAAAATAGAAAACATGGGAGAAGCTCGACGGTAAGTGTTGGATGGGTCACATATGCCAACAAGATACCGCTCTGGAACTCTAAAACAGGAAAGCTCTCTGACTTCACTACCCGTTTTACCGTCAGCATCACCATGCCAAATCTTTCTAATTTCGGTCATGGCTTTGCCTTCTTCCTTGCTCCTGTTGAATCTGAAATCCCACCAAATTCAGCTGGTGCACTACTAGGCCTTTTTAACAACACAAACAGGGTTTCAGCTTTGGGTCAATTTGTTCTGGACGACTTTGACACCTACAAAGATCGTTGGGATCCTTATCCAGATGATAACCACGTGGGGATCAACAACTTAATAACTTTGGCGAACCACACCTCTTGGAATGCAAGCATTCACAGCGGGGACACTGCCGATGTATTGATTTCTTACAATGCTACTTCTAAGATTTTGATGGCTTCTTGGAGCTACCTGACAACTAATAATCCTCAAGAGACTTCCGCTCTTACTTATCACAGTGATCTTACGAAGGCTCTACCTGAGTGGGTTATGGTTGGATTTTCAGGTTCTATAGGTTTGGCTAAAGAGCAACATATCCTTCAATCACGGGGAGTTCAGTCCAACTTTGGAACCGGAGGAAACTGATGGAAGTACTGCAAGAAAGACCAAAATAGTAATATGTGCTGTAGTTCCTGTGGCTGTTCTGATATTTGTGACAGTTATATCATATTTCATTTTCCAGCGGTGGAAGCAGATGGAAAGGAAAGTAGCAGAGAGAGCAAACTTAACAACAATTGACCTTGAAAGAGGATCTGGACCTAGGAGACTTTCTTATATAGAACTTGCCTCTGCTACCAACTACTTCTCAGAGGAGAGGAAGTTGGGTGAAGGAGGGTTTGGTGCAGTTTACAGGGGTTACATACTTGATTTAGACTTGATAGTTGCAGTAAAAAGGATTTCAAAAGGGTCTAAACCGGGGAAAAGGGGTACGTAACTGAAGTGAAGACCATTTGTCATGGGTCATTACTTTTTTTCCAAAAGACTCATTTAAAGTGGTGTGCAGCACATCCGCTTATAAGGAGTCAAGGATCTTTTGTCCTTGTTCGATATGGGATAGAGGCACATTTTGTAACACTCTCTCACCCGATTTCGGTAACGTCTTCATTGCTGTCGACCACCCTGTCTACTTTGGTCCGTTGGGACGTCTAACGTGAGCATTGTGATACTCAACATCTTAACAACTTGAACTTAAGTTTTTGAGGGTCACATGGTTTAAGCTTAAAAAGTTGATGGGTCAGTAGTTGAATTTGGGTTATTACAAATGGTATCAGAGCCTACGCTAGTCTGATATATGCTTTCACATTGCTATGGTGAGATCTTGATCCTATGTGGCCTTGATGTGAGTGAGATTGTGATATCTAATATCTAATGTGAATGTGATTGTTAAGACTTATATAACAATTTAAGTCTACCACTACTAATAACTTAAGTTTAAGCTTTTAAGGATCACGTGGTTTAGGTCCACAGAGTTAGATCGTTACACTATTAACCAGTTTCGACATCGAAATCTAATACAACTAGTACAACTAATTGGTTGATGTCATGATAGAAATGAGTTTTCACTCATTTATGAATTTATGCCACATGGTAGCCTTGATTCCCACCTCTTTGGCAAAAGGGGTGCACTTTCTTGGCCTGTCAGGTACAAAATATCTATTGGATTGGCCTCTACACTTCTTTATCTTCATGAAGAATGCGAGCAGTGTGTGATGCATCGGGACATTAAATCAAGCAATATAATGCTAGATTCTAGTTTCAATGTTAAACTTGGTGACTTTGGGTTGGCCAGGGTCATGGACCATGATCTAGGTCCCAGAACAACTGGGTTGGCTGGGACTTTGGGGTACTTGGATCCAGAGTATATCAGCACAGGAAGGGCAAGTAAAGAGTCTCAGGTATTTAGCTTTGGGGTGGCATTGTTAGAAATTGCTACCGGAAAAAAATCAGTTGATCCTAGTGGAAACACTGAAATGGGATTGGTAAAGTGGGTTTGGGATCTTTACGGGAAAGAAGAGCTTCTTGTGGCCGTTGATGAGAAGTTGAACAAGGATTTGTCGACAAACAAGTTGACTGTTTGATGGTTGTTGGACTGTGGTGTGCTTATCCTGATAGTGGTTTAAGACCTTCAATCAGGCAAGTAATTCAAGTTCTGAATTTTGAGGCAGATAAGCCAAATCTTCCTACAAAGATGCCAGTTCCCGCGTATCTTGTACCTACACCTTCAGTGACCTCCGAGGAACCTTTATTATCGAATTCAAGCTTGGAACCGGGTCGTTAAATTTGATTTACTTTATTAGTTTGCTTTTTTTTTTCTTTTTTTCCAAATCTATTCTGGAATACCTGAAGTTGAATTTGAATGTATGGAGTCATTCAGCTACTGGGGACTTAGAAGGAATTTAGCAACATTACAGTATTGAACCTTAGCCATGGGCGGTCAAAAAAAAAATAAAGGCCTTAGCCATGGGTGTCCTTCCTTTTGTCTGTATTCCTTTCTTGATCATATAATATGGACAAAAAATGATACTTGGAAGTTTCAAAATGTCAGATCACTATACAAAGCTTGTATGTTAATGCTTATACGCTGTTCCGATTGAGTTATATTGAAACCTTTCACATACCTAGGTCTCAAGCACCGTTAGCTGCAAGCTATCAAGGCATATTTGGGCACCTGTCTTAGTTGACTCAGAATATATGCTAATTATTCCTGCTTTTTAATTAATCCATCCCTTTCCTTCTTATTAAGGTCATAGTTATCATCACAAACTTCGATAAATAATCTATCAACATTTCTTCAACTCTACTAAAATATACCCCATGCTTGTCACTTCCTTTAAATTAATTCAAGTCAATCCCAGAATTAGCATATTATGCAGAAAACAAGAAGAACCAGAGACGGTTATAGTTAAAAATTAAGAAAGTATTTGCTTGGCAGGTAAGACAACCTTTCTGACTTGATGACTTTGGACTTATTTTCTTGCAAAAGAAAAAAAAAACTGTGTCATCTTCATTTGGTCTGACTTGTTATATGTAATCATGAATTGGTCATATTGTTTATCAGTTAAATTTTTAATACTTGTTTTTTCCTTCGTATGTGCCTCTAGATTGGATGTTTCTGCTATTGTTTAATCATTTTTAGTCGTAAATATTGTCATAAGAAGTCTTCCTGAGGCTGTATTTTCATAGTAACTATATATATTATGATGACTTGACCTTCGAATGGAAACTAATACTGCAGTGCAATGGCACCTTGTACTCTTCTGTACCATTCTGAGATGACAGACAATAGTTATATGCTCTGACTGCGGATGAAAGCAACAGTTCTTGCCTGTTTTTGTTCAACTATTCATTTTTATCAATGATTTAATCAATCATTTCCGTCAATCATCTGTATCTTGAAACATGAAAATTATTGGAGATAGAACAAATATTAAAAAGTATCCGAAGACAACAATATGAATTGGTGTGATCACTGCTCTTGCTTCTGGCTCCTGTAAGCAAACAACCACCAAAATTCTATGTCAAAACAACAGGGATATATTTGTTGTTGAAAAACCTGTCTACTGAACGATTGGTTGACGGCTTTCGTGTCTTGTGGGTGCTAATTCCATCTGTTACTTTCTGCTCTTTCAATGTGAATTCGAAAACCATATATTGTCTATAAAAGTAATGTTCAATGCAGATGCAGTCTACAGATATTTTGAAGGGAATCTTGGCCTCAACAAAGAGAGATTGCTAAAGAGTTCATGAAACTAGTTTTATTAGCTATAAACTGGAGTACATTTTTGATACCGTTGTTCTGTTTCAAGACCTACTGGATTGATTCTTCTTTCATCACCCAAAAAGAAATTATGTTCGCTGGCTGAGAAATTACCGGAGGGGAAGGAAAAATCTACTGGTTTCCATACTACCGACTATGTAAGCTTTACCCTTCATCATATACTAGAATATGATGAATCGGAATAGGTCTTCTCCATTTTATATGTAATGTCTAATATAAATCTGCTCCCGCTAATTGCTGTATAAACTTGTTCTTTTGAATCACTTGGCTAGAGTTTCCTCACAAAAGTGTTAATGAAAAACAAATCGTTTTCGTTGGATTCAGTCTCTTTCAATGGTAGCCCTAAAGAGAGTATTAGTTATGCTAGAATTTGATCTAACGATTTTTGTAAATCGCAATCCATCACCTATACAGGCCACTAATAATACGATATGTCCAAAACCAAATCTCATGATAGCTCCTTCATAATAATCCACCCCAACCCATATGACTCATTAAAAACAAACCTTATAAGAACCTTTTCATGCATCCACATGTCTAATGATCAAATTGACACATGACATTGTTTGAGAGCCCTTTTGAAACTTCCTTTTATATTAAGTTATAGAATATATTTTAATCTCATTTTCAGCAATAAATTTTGTTCTTAAGCTATTCTTAAGGGCATGCTTGATTGGGGGGAATGGGACCTATTCTCATTTTTAAGATAAAACTGCATTTGGTTTAATGAAATAGTTATTCTTCGAAATAATCATTTCAAAAGAGACGTGAATGGTTATTCCAAAATATTGGAAATAAAAAAAATTAATTAGATAAATATACCTTTTTACAATTTATTTAAAAATTACCTTATAAAAAAAATACTAAACCTATTTTTTTCCCTCTTCCTCACTCTTCCCTCTAAAGCACAAGACACACAATTTTTTACTTCATTTTCCAAAAAAAAAGAAATAAAAATATTTAAATATTATTTAATATATTAATATTATTTAACATCAATAAATATTAACAAGAATCATTATTTAATATTATTTAGAATATAGTAAAATATAATAAAGAATATTATTTTAGTATTATTTAGATTAATGAAGAATATATTTTGTCTTTTAATATTAAACATTATTAATTATAATAGAAGGTTTAATTATCTTTTAATACATACTACAATTGTTGTAAATGTTAAATAATTATTTCTTTAAATAATTATTTTATTCTTTCAATGATCAAGTAGTTGTAAATGTTTATCTGATTGACTTAATCAAGGAAGTCATATAATACAAGCAATATATGATGGGTTGTCTACAAATATTATAGCCATCTATATGTTGCATCAAACTATAATTAAATAATCTCCCATTCACAAGACTTTGTTCGTCACGTATTTTTACTCGATCTTTGAAACTAAGTCTCATCTCGGGAACATAAAAGCATTTCCATAAGAAAAATATTGATAATATTTGGAAATTATTATCTGTAAGCCTTTCAGCATCATTTATCCTTCTGATTTTAAGTTTAACCACAAATTTAATACTTATCAATAGTTAATACGTTAAAAGTATTTTTTAACATTAAAATACTTAAAATATCAGAACACCTTCATTTTATCTTATTTCTGGTATTCCAAACTGTTTCAATAAACAGCTTTTTTTTTTTTACTTATCTAATTGTGCACATACTGTCTTGTTAAAAAAAAAACCTAGCTTGGACTTAAAGATGTCTTGTTTGCCTCTGTTTTGCGTGATTTCATGCCTAGCCGTCCAATCCGAGCCTTAATTTCTCCTCCGCCTTTATTCTTACTTGGCATCTTTTATATATTAAATACTTCAAGTCTTAATAATAGGTTAATTTTTTTATCGTTTATACTTTCTTTTTGCCCCCCTCGGGGCAACGAAGCAAGTATCTGGATTTTCAATTGGATAGAGCATCCCCAAACATATTAAAAATAATGGAGAAGAAGAATCTCAAAGAATTGCTGTCTACAAATCACTACTCCCTTGTTTTTGCAGCACTCAGAAGTCAGTAGCCTTGACTCTTTTACTGGGTGAGTTTCTTCTTTGAAAGGCAACAAGAACAAACCCCATTTATTCTCTTATTATTGAACTTCTTTCTTCCACACGCTATATTTAAGAATCTGCCCTGCTTAATATGGCCAGATTCTGCATAATTCATGTCCAAAATTTCTTTATTTAAATTTTTATTCTGTTTCATTAATTATGTCAGTATATTTTCTTTGCACATTTCTATTCGAGTAACGTGGTGTAACTTGTTAATCTCACTTTCTTGTGACTAAACCCAATTGAAGTCTCATAAAGTAAGGATATTGAAAACGTAGTTGTACTTTTCTAATGTTATTGCTTTAGTACCGGCTTTCAGATTCCATGCTTGGTTTGGCCAAAATAGGAGCTAAGTGTATAGTTTTATGCATTGTTTAATTTCAATAGAAGCATCAGGAAATCGGTTCTGAACTACATAGTATGTTTCTTATTGGTTTCTTTCAGGAATGTGTTCACCACTGCAAAATAAGAGATTGTTTATGTTGAAGTTTATGACTTCATTTGTGTGCAATATACGGCAATTTTGTTGTTAGCCAAAACAGCTAGTTACTGGGAAATAGGGTTCTTTAGCTATAACTGAAAGCCAAGTAGAAGGGCTGAACAGATCATTCTATCATGTGGATCATTGTAGATTCTTAAATGTACTATATAGTTCAGTGGAAGTAGCATGCTAAATCCCCCTGAATTCTCAGAAGGTCCGTAAAAAAAATAGTTACAGAAAATCTCATTTGTTCCATTACAATTTCAATTGAATGTCACATGTTAGTCAGTGATCAGAGTTAACTCTATTAGATTAGAGGAAAAGTAAGATGATTTCTTCGAACATTTTTTTTATTGGTGGATCATTACTTTATATCTACTTGACATGTCTCAACTGCCTCAGCTGATAATCCCATCATGTTTGAAGATAGAAGGAAAATGGACACCACCCTTTGGAATTTTGTGGTTTCTGTGAGCTCAGTCATCAATTGCGTATATGATACATAATTTAGAATCCTGGAAGCAAGAAGTTTCAATTATATATATATATTCCTTTTGTGGAAGAGAGATCTGTCAATACTTGGTTTAATTTTATATGTCATTCCAATGTTCAGGATCGACTGCCGGCAGTAGTTTCACAAATTCAGCTTTTCTACATGTATGAATCAAGGAAATGGTTCCCTTTTAGCGTGAAGCTTCCTTGAACCATGCCTAAAGCTGGTAGGTGAAGTTTTAGCATCAAGTTAACTATTACTTGCGGTGTTATATAGGTTCAAAATGCTCTTTCATATGGTGCCAGGCTGCACCTCTCCTTTTGCTGCCCCCTCGCCATGGCATCTGGCTTCTACAACCTACTTAAATTATCGCTTCTGTTTTATTCCTTTTTACTCTGCCCTCGGCCAAATCAGTAAACTTCCAAATACCTCGCTTTGACTCAAATGCAAACAACATTATCTATCAGGGTGATGCAAGACCTTCTGTTGGAGCCATTGAGTTTAACCTTGTGAATTATCTATGCCGTGTTGGATGGGCAACATATGCTGAGAAGGTGCCGCTCTGGGACTCAAGCACAGGAAGGCTCTCCGACTTCAATACCCACTTCTCCTTTGATATTGTTCTCCAAAGTTCTTCTTATGGTCATGGTCTTGCTTTCTTTCTAGCGCCTGCTGGGTCTCAAATCCCACCAAATTCAGCTGGTGGATTTTTGGGACTATTTAACACAACAACTAGTGATTCATCCCAGAATCAAATTGTTCTTGTAGAGTTTGACACGTTTGAAAATTCTGAATGGGATCCACCTGGAGTTGGAAGTCATGTGGGGATCAACAAAAACTCAATTGCTTCAGCAAATTATACTAGATGGAATGCTAGCTTTCATAGTGGAGATACTGCAGATGTGTTTATTAATTACAATGCTTCTACTAAGAACTTAAGTGTGTCTTGGAGCTATCAGACAACCAATAATCCGCAAGAGAATTCTGGTCTTTCTTATCAAATTGATCTAATGAAGGTTTTACCTGAGTGGGTCATGGTTGGATTTTCAGCTGCTACAGGTCAGAATGTAGAGCGGAATACGCTCCAATCTTGGGAGTTCGATTCTAGTTTAATTGTAAAAGCAGAAACTAGGGGCAACACACAAGAAATATCAAAAATAGTTGTAGGTGTTGCAGTTCCTCTGGGTGTTCTGATAGCTGGGACAGTTATAGCATTTATGATTTGGCAGCGGAAGAAGCATATGGAAAGAAGAACAGCAGAGACCACAAACTTAACATCGATCAATGATGATCTTGAAAGAGTAGCTGGGCCTAGAAGGTTTTCCTATTCTGATCTTACCTCTGCTACCAATAACTTCTCAGAACAGAGAAAGTTGGGTGAAGGAGGATTTGGTGCAGTTTATAGGGGTTACCTACCTGATTTGGAAATTGCAGTTGCTGTCAAAAGGATTTCAAGAGGGTCCAAACAAGGGAAAAAGGAGTATGTAACTGAAGTGAAGGTCATTAACCAGTTAAGACACCGAAATCTGGTGCAACTAATTGGTTGGTGCCATGATAGAAATGATTTCTTACTTGTTTATGAGTTCATGCCAAATGGTAGCCTTGATTCGCACCTCTTTGGCAGAAGAAAGCCACTTACTTGGCCTATGAGGTACAGAATATCTCTTGGATTGGCATCTGCACTGCTCTATCTTCATGAAGAGTGGAAGCAGTGTGTGGTGCACCGAGACATCAAATCCAGCAATGTAATGCTTGATTCTAGTTTCAATGTCAAACTTGGTGACTTTGGATTGGCTAAACTCATGGACCATGAGCTAGGTCCAAAGACAACTGGGTTGGCTGGAACTTTAGGCTACTTGGCTCCAGAATACATAAGCACAGGTAGGGCGAGTAAGGAGTCAGATGTTTTTAGCTTTGGAGTGGTCATTTTAGAAATTGCAACTGGAAGAAAATCTGTCGATCCTGGAGGAAAATCTGAAATGGGACTGGCAGAATGGACTTGGGGTCCTTACGGAAAAGGAGAGCTATTTTTGACTGTTGATGAGAAGTTGAACAAGGATTTTGATGAAAAACAAGCAGAGCGTGTGATGATTGTTGGACTGTGGTGTGCTCACCCTGACCATAATTCGAGGCCATCAATTAGGCAAGCAATTCAAGTTCTTAATTTTGAGTCAGCAATGCCAAATCTTCCAGCCAAGATGCCTGTTCCTATGTATCATGTACCTTCAACAGTCACCTCTGAGGAACCTTTAATAACTTATTCAAGCATGGAAGTGGGTCGTTAGACATGATTTGCCTTGTTTTTCGTTTTTCCTTTCTAAACTCACTATTTTTACATTATATGTTAATGTATAAATAACACTTGTAGCGGTACTAAGGACTTTAGTTTGATTACAATGTTGCTTAACCATTTTTTGTACTGTCATAAATATAGATGTTGTGTTTTACATTAAATATATTCAAAAATATAGATGTAGTATTTTTACATTATATGGTTTGTATGTTGAGTTTTTGGCAAGAAAAAAGAAGTTGATTACAAAGTATTAGCCAATAGTCGATTACAGGTTCATAGTCCCTTTATAGTAAGCACCCCTTGCTGCAGGCTCTGGATTGGGGCATATTTTTGCAGAAGTGTCTGAGTTGATGCAGAAACATGGCAAACACAGTATTTGTTTATTCTTTGAATTAATCTCTCTTTCCCTGCTCATCAGGGTATGGTTATGTTACAAACTATAAAAAAACAATCCATCCAAAACATTAAACTATTCATCATTACTAAAATATTACCAAGTGGTTGTCCCGCCCCCATAAATTTTGATTCAACTCAATTCTATATATATGCATATATTATGCAGGAAAATAAGAAGAGTTTACGCCAAGTAGTTAGACTTTAAGACAGTGTTTCCTTGGCAGCAAAGACAGGAAGAAATTCTTAGATTTCATAAATATTCCTATCTTGGAGTAAACTTTCCTTAGTCATCCCTTGGGACTTTTTTTGTTTATATAGGTTTGTAATCTTTAGTTGGCACTGCTTCATTGTTCTTGCTTTTTGGTGAAATCTTTTATTTAATTAATTGATTTTTCCCTTCATTGAAGCTTCTAAAATAGATATCCTTCTTTTGTTTAATGATTGTTTGTCATAGTCATTTTGGTTAAGAGCCTTCTGATTTGGAAATTCCTTAGGAAATAAATATATTTTTGATGACTGGATTTCTTTCTTTTTTATTGATGGAATTGATGACTTGATTTTTAAATGGAGACTGGTCCTAAAGAGAATTTTATTTCCCAGGATGAGTAAGCTTTTGACAATGAAACGCCACCTTGATCTCTTCTGTTCGTAACATGAATTATACTACTAAGTTTTCTCATGAATAATTGTTTTTCTTTTCGGACTTAATCATGGGAAACAGACTTTTAACATTTCAACTTCTTGTATCCCTAGTTGCTTTAACTTATTGGCACTTTGTTTTTTTTTACAGTAAATTGTGTTGAATGAAATATTACGGAGATTGAATTGAAGATAATTAATTCGTTATCTTCTCGTCATAAATAGTTTATGCTTCAGAAACTTAGATGCATGACAAAGATAGTCAACGATGAATAGATTAAAAGCTTCATGTATAACATAACAGCATGAAAATGGTTGAGCCTCTTTGGTTACGACTCAAGTTAGTCATACAAATTAAAAGCTGATGTATTGCTAAGGGCTTGTCTTAGCCTTCCATATTTTTCTGTGCAAGTCTGAGATGCTCCGAATTAGGAACTATAGATCAGGCTGATAACCATGCCTTCTGAGATGGTTCCCTGTCGTTGACCTGGTAGCAATACTTCAATTGCAACTCCTGCCAAAATTTGGGACTTCCATAAATAAATATGAATAAGCCAGTGGTCCTGAGGCATAATGGTCTTCCACTCCCTATAAAATGGAAGAAAGTTTGAGGTCCCACATTTTTTAGATTAGGCAATGAAGGAGGTGTGGTAAAAAGAATGGCGATAAGCTTTTCCAGGTTTCTGCTAACCTGGCATAAACATCTAGGCATATTGAACTGGTGAATTCGGTGTAACGAAGCCAATATATTTTTACAAGGATTCTCCTTATATTATTGACGTCTAACATTTTATGTCAAATTATTGATGCTTCATAATCAACAGAAGGAATATACTTCAGATATCCTTATTCTTTGCAAAATACTGACAGATTATATATTCCATCAAAGCTGTCTCTCCTGGTGTTTCATTGCACATTAGTCTTTTTCAAATTTATTTCTTTCTTGATAGATTGGGGATGGAGGTATTTTGAGAGTTTCATATTGAAGAAGAGGGTGTGATTATCGAAGAGCTTAGTCCCGCCGTAGTATGTTATTAATATTATGAGGTTGTGATGATTTATGTTTGGTGAACAGGAAGGATTGATACGTTTTGGCTATAGGAAAAAGAACACTTTCAACATTGAACATGATTGTATATTTGTCTTAGTTTATTGATAATATTATCGGCTGTGGGAGAGCCCATTTCTTTTAATTTGTTAGAAGGAACAGATAGGAATCCCCTGGAATTTCGGCTTCAATTAAGATGTGAGCTGCACAAGATCAACTATATGAAATTATTAAACAAAATTGTTTAAAGTTAGTACTCTATCTAGCTCCTTTTTTATTGTACTCCAACTGTCTTAGAAAAATTCTAAAATCTGGTTGACCCTTTGGCTGAAGTTGATAACATAGTTTCAGGGTCTAAAGTTGTGTCATGTGAGCTCACTTGAATACCGGGACCCTTAACTTAAAAATAAGTTGTTGCAGATTAATCTTAAAACTGATCATTTGTGTTACCATTTCAGTTTAAGGTTGACTCTTCTGTACCGGAGGAAACATGCTATTCTTTATATAATTTTCTAGGAAAATGATTCCATGTCAGCGGTGCTTTTCCAGGTAGAAACTAAATTAGGTAGCTGACCTGAGCCTTAGCATCAAGATTTAAGCTAATCCTAGCCTCATCATTTGTCAATTATAAGCTAGCCACTTTCAGGAGTAGCGCTGCTGAATTCCTTTGCTCTTAACATGGCCATAGCCTTCTATAACATTCTTATTTTACACCTACTTTGTTCCTTATTTTTGCTTCTTCCTTCTGCCAATTCAATCAACTTCAGTATTCCTCGCTTTGACCCGAATGCAAACGACATTCTCTACCAGGGAGATGCAGCAGCTTCAGTTGGAGCCATTGAATTTAACAAGATCAATTATCTATGTCGTGTTGGTTGGGCCACGTATGCTGAGGGGGTACATCTCTGGGATGCGAACACTGGTAAGCTGTCTGACTTCACCTCCCGTTTCTCAGTCACCATTGACACCCAGAATTCATCAACTTACGGCCATGGGGTTGCTTTCTTCCTTGCTCCCGTGGGATCTCAAATCCCACCAAATTCAGCTGGTGGCTTTTTGGGCCTATTCAACACTACCACATCCGACTTATCTACGAATCAAATAATTATGGTGGAGTTTGATACTTTTCCAAACCCTGAATGGGATCCTTCCATTGTGCATGTGGGGATCAACAACAACTCAATTGCTTCAGCCGTATACACACCTTGGAATGCTAGCTTTCACAGCGATGATCCCGCTGATGTACTGATTACTTACAATGCTACTACTAAGAATTTAAGCGTGTCCTGGTCCTACAAAAAAACCAATAATCCAAAAGAGAACTCTAGTCTTTCTTATCAGATTGATCTGATGAAGGTTCTGCCTGAGTGGGTTATGGTTGGTTTTTCAGCTGCTACAGGTCAGAATGTAGAACGACACACGATTCAGTCATGGGAATTCAGTTCAAGTTTGGATATAAAGGAGACAAATGGAAAGAATTCAAAAAACACCAGAATTATAATTGCCACTACAATTTCAACGGGTGTTGTGCTTGTTGGAGTGTTAATAGCATTTACGATTTTGCGGAGGAGGAACCAGGTAATGAGAAGGAATAGAAGAGAAATATCAAATGCAGCATCAATTACTGACGACTTTGAAAGAGGAGCTGGACCAAGAAGGTTTACTTTTCAGGACCTTGTTTCAGCTACCAACAACTTCGCAAATGAGAGGAAGTTGGGTGAAGGTGGGTTTGGTGCTGTTTACAAGGGTTACTTACCGGATTTAGATATGGCAGTAACCGTTAAGAAAATATCAAGAGGTTCTAGGCAAGGGAAAAGGGAGTACATTACCGAGGTTAAAATCATTAGTCAGTTAAGGCACCGATATCTTGTACAACTTGTGGGTTGGTGCCATGATAAAGGGGAATTTCTACTTGTGTACGAGTTCATGTCTAATGGTAGCCTTGACTCTCATCTCTTTGACAAGAAATCACTTCTTACTTGGACTTCAAGGTCAAAAATAGCTCAAGGGTTGGCTTCTGTGCTCCTCTATCTTCATGAAGAGTGGGAGCAATGCGTGGTACACCGGGACATAAAATCAAGCAATATAATGCTGGACTCTAGCTTTAACGTGAAGCTTGGTGACTTTGGGTTAGCTCGGCTGATGGACCATGAGTTAGGCGGGCAAACAACTAGGTTGGTTGGAACATTAGGTTACATGGCTCCTGAATACATAAGCACAGGTAGAGCTAGTAAGGAATCCGATGTATTTAGCTTTGGGGTAGTTGCCTTGGAAATTGCTACCGGCAGAAAGGCGATTGATCCTTTGAAACAGGACTCCCAAATGAGTTTGGTTCATTGGATTTGGCATCTTTATGAAAGTGGAGAGCATCTAGTGGCTGTTGATGAGAGACTTAATACAGAGTTTGATAGGACTCAGGTAGAATGTTTGATTATTGTTGGATTGTGGTGTGCTCACCCTGATAGCAGTATGAGGCCTTCGATAAGGCAAGCGATTCAAGTCTTCAATTTTGAGGCAGAACTTCCAGAGCTTCCAAAGAAGATGCCTGTTCCTGTTTACGTTCCCACTTCATCTGTCAGTTCTAGTGAACCTTCCACAACTAATTCAAGCCTTCAATTTGGTCGCTGAGCAGGTTCACATCTGAGTCTCAAGCAAAATTGTCCTGTTTATTTTAATGTTGTTTGTTGTTCAATTAAAACATATTGATTGTGAGCATCATAGCCGGTGTTGATGGAATAAATGTCTCAGCAGTACTTGGAACTTAGTCTAGGATCAGTCTGGGATCCTTCAATTCATATTTCTTATTTTGATATACCTGTTACTATGAAACAATGAATTGTTATTAATGGTTTTATCATTAGAGTTGAGTATGCTGTTGTAGCTTGAATTAGAATTTGGTTTTCATTTTTGCAGAAAACAGAATCATTTCTCAGAATTTTGTTATTCCAGATTCACTTCTCCTATACACCATAAACACTTGAACTACAATTACTCCTCATTACAGAAATTTTATTAAAGGCAAGGTTTTCCACAATTTAGGTATTAGAAGAGAAAGATTTACATGTAGAGTGAACTATTTTTTTCCTTAGCTGAAGCAGGGTCCCTTCAGCAGTCTACAAATCTGGAAAAGAATTATAGACCATAAATTTCAAGAAAGAAATGAAATTTAGCGATTGATTACATTTTGTATTGACAAAATTAATCTACCAAACATTCACCAGCGTATAAAATGACTAGCAAACTCTTATAAAATTTAATTTTTTGCAATCAAATGATGAAAAACAAATTGAAAAATTTTTTGAAACAGAGATCCAATAAAATAGTTTTTTTATTTGTTTTCTTTTTCTTTTGAGTATGAGTCCCTATTTATATAAAGTTTTGATAATTAAAAAATTAAACTTAAATTGATATAATTTATTATTATTATTAAATTATAACAATATATTTCATTGAATATGTTGGTTAGTGTGGGGTGTCATTATTAATATATATTGATTATATATATATTAATTAAATTAAATTAAATTATAAGATCAATCAAGGCTGAAAAATGTAATCATGATTCAATTTACATTGTAACCCACTTTAGACGACTCTTTATTGAAAGAACATTATTTTCTTGTCCCATTTCAATGTAAAATTATGTCAATTACGTGTGGAAAATGTCCAGCAGTACGTATACTCTAATCTTCATATCCTTTGCTCTGCTTCTTCGCTTCTCTTCACATTTGACAAAGTCTTCGTTGTACTAAAGGGAAACTCCCTAACCCACAATGTATGTTTTTTCTTTGGTAACTTACAGAATTCTAACAAGTCAAGAAACTCAATTAGCCTCAAGAAATTCCTCAAAGTACTATCCCTTTAATTAGCTCCATGGAGCTTTCTGTTTCTGTGTTAGGATATAGGCCATAGAAATGGAGAATGAGAAGGAACAATGAATGTGCCCTCATGATCTTCAACAGATTGAGCAGTTCACGACTTCGAAACTTGTATGGTGTTATCTTTATCCCCTTCTTCATAGCAAATTGCGCACATGTGGAACTAGCATTTTCTCACCTTTCTGGATTACTCAATGTCCGCAATGATATATTCTTTGCATTCTCTAAGGCCAGACACCAGGACATCCTTTGTAGCATTTTACTTCAAATTGCACTCTACGTAAAGACCTCTTTTCCACGGTAGAACTGTTCTGATTCTGCGGTTCTGCCCATAATGCAAGGTGTTGTCCCCTTCATCACTAATTGCACAGTTATCTTTAAACTAGCACTTGTTTTTGCCTAAAATTAGTCAACATTAGCAATGCTTGTTTGCATTCT